GGGGGGGCGGAACCTAGAAGAGAGACCCTCGGAAGGAATGGCGACCCAAAAAGGAATATCCTTCCTTCCTCAAACTCACCAAAGAGTCACCTAACAAGAAATGAAGGGTTGCCATGTCAACTACTTCCATACCCCTCAACAAACAACTAAATGGGAAATCTAAAGAGGGCAGGACAAAGGCCATGAAATGCAACATCTTACCAAACAATAGGTACAGCCAAGGGAACACAAAACTAAAAGGTTTGTCTCCTATCCAATGAACCTCCCAAAAATAGACTTTGTACCATCCGTAGTAGAACAGTTTATAAACTGAGAGAAAAGAGGAAAACCAGACGAAATAGCCTTCCAACAAGGAGCTCATAACCACCCCCCCTCCCCCCCCACCCACCCAATCCTCCCCTTCCCATAAGAAATCCGTCATAATTTTCTCCAAATGTCCAAGTATGACTGAATTCTTTCTTTTTATTTTATAAGGGGCAATCTAACATTACTTCAAAAACATGAACAGCCTAGGAGAAAGGGGAGAACTCCCCTCCTAGAGAGAGCTTCTTACAAGAAAAACTCTCTAAAATCTTCGGATCATAGATGGGGTAGTTGCCAAAGAATTTACCATAACTGTGACACCACTCAAAAGCAGGGAGTTGTACAAAATTCCAAAAAAAAAAAAAAAGAAAGAAAATAGATTTATCTTCAAAGGTTCTCTTGTTACGTTCCAACTGAAAACTCTATAAAGTAGCTCAAAAGGTAACCTGTCAAAGGACCTTTCCTTTACCTTTCAAGTTCCAGCCCATTAGGCCTTCCAACATCCAATCATCCACTCAGCAAGGAAGGTAAACCTGAATCTCAAAGATACCCAACAGGCAATTCAAAACGATCTAGCAAAAGGGAAAAACAAGAATAGATGGTCTAAGGTCTACCCATTGTCTAAGCAGAGAAGGAAATCAAAGAGCAAAGCCCATTCCTCATATTCTTCTTCTGCATATATCTCGAGTATTAAGACTCCTATGTGCTGCCCACCATAAGAACTCCTTCCACTTTTTTGGGGACTTTAAACTTCCAAATCAAGTTAGCAAGTGCAAGTCTGAGGGAAGTTCTATTTCCAGCTAGCTTCAAAAACAAAGGGATTCCAAGGACCATCTAATAGCAGTTGTCACCTTCCCCAAACCAAAAAGCACCTAAAAACGATCAACAAGCCCGAAGCTCTTTATATAAATTCCTCTTCCAATGCCCAAATTCCAAGTTTCGTTAGTATCATCTCAACAATCTGCCACAGTTGCATAATTCTTGAGAGAGAGATTAAAAATCTCCACGAGTCTCCCCAAGCCAAAAATCCTTCCAAAGGCTAACCTTCTAGCCATAACCGACCTTGAAAAAAAAGGAATTTACAGAACATGGGAGCTATCTTGGCAGTGTCAAACCAAGGCCTATTTTTGGAGCTTGCCCTCGGCGGAAGAGTCATCCACCCAAAAGGATCATTACCACAAAGGCTACTCACTACCTTTCTCCACAGGGCCTCCTTTTCCATTGAAAATATCCACAACCATCTAGTAAGAAGAGTGAGATTACTATACTGAAAAGAACTCATACCTATAAACCACCGAACAAAGGAGGGAAGTCACCTGCCAATTAACCTAGTGACGACTGACCTTGTAACCACCCCATTCCAAAAGTAATCTATAGCCATCTTTTCCATACTGTTGATGCCTCTCACCGACACCTTTAAGGAGAGAGAGAAAATACTACGGTAATCTAATTGGAATCAAGTTTATCAAATTTAAACAACCCCCCTTTGAGACAGAGTTTTTCCACTGTGATTTTAGCTTTGAACTTATCCACTAACAACTGCCAAGTGGGGAACCAGTGTAGGTTATGGGAAGACAATCTATCTTACAGACCAATCTTCCAGCCACAGAGGCAAACTTACCGTTATCAACATTTACTCCAATGAGTAACGTTTTAGACAAATTCAAGGAGAGACTTGAGCAGTCAATGAAAAGGGAGATCACCTTCTACCAAGTCTTCAAACATCTATTTTTCCAGGCCAGAAAACAATTATATCATCACCATATTGCAAGACAAAATCAGATCTTGATCCCCCATCAATAGATTATTGCTATAAGTCCTGAAAATCAAGTTAGTAAATATCTAAAAATAACTAATACACCACCCAAAATCCAGCCAACATAATATACAAAATACAGATAAAAAATGCCAATCCAACTATAAAAATATACAATCAAAGAAACAAAAGCAATAAGCCAAAAAGTTATCCAGCTTAACACTAAAATGTCCAAATCCATAGCAAAAAAAAAAAAATCCAACCCATACAAGCGCTCACATTCATAGTGTCATCCAGACAATGATTATCAGACTTGACCACATAGCTTAACAAAAACAAAGAAAAGAAACTCGACAAAGACGGGGTTATCAATTTCATGGTTAATCAAGTTTAAGATTTAATTTGATTAATTTAACACCTTAAGGTCAAATTTCACCAAACAAGCAAAGTAAAGAAAGTATAAGGGATAAAATTCTCTTGAATTTAAGGAATATCTTAAAGGAAAGCCAAAATTGAGCTGCTATTTTCCAGCTACCAACCATTAACAAACACCATAAATAAATAAAATTTCTATATAACCGGCAATGATTATTTGTAAATAAAATAAAATACAGAATACTTAACAAATAGTACACCAACTTCAAAGGGAACAGGAAGGACTTACATGACTTGCAAGCATATATAATAGCAAATAATATGCAGCACCTGCCCAGGCTGTTTCTGCAAATACGCCTGTTGTCCTTTTCAATTCTGAAGTCAATGGTAACGCTCTAAGAAATCTTGGGATATATTGAAGGAATACAATGAAAAGAAGGGCCTGTTTTGTCACATATACATCTGAACCTTTGGACCTCTGAAGAAATCTCCAGACCACAATCTGCATAGAAATAAATGGCAGACTAATTCTCAATATTCATAATCTTACTCCCACAACTCACGAGAAGAGTACTACACATAATTAACAGGGATAGAAAATCAAATTAAAAAATGATAAGAACTATAGTAGCAACGGTCGAAGGATCAGCCATAAGTCAGGAGATATTTGTACAATCCCATTAATAAGGGAAGTCAACCTCCCTAATTTATCTGTTACCTAGTATCTAAGGATTAATTAAGATTTATTGTTACCTAGTATTTAGGGGTATAGTTAGCCTATCATAAATTACACATGTACCTCTTTGAAAGTTAATAAGAAAAACAACAAGCTAATTTAGACTTGCAGCATGGCATCAGAGCCTCCATAGCTAATTCAACCTGAAGTCTACCCTTTTTGATGAAGCCTTCATAGTTGTCAAATCATTTATTGTGATCAAGACCCACCTTTCCACTGGTTTATTTTACCATCATGTCAGAAAAATCTCAAGTTGTTCTTCCAATCGTCATCACAAAGTATCAAGTTATGAGATTCAGATTCGAAGTATTCAATAATGGAGGGAACTAAGGGTGTCGGAGGAAGAAAAGGAGGCGTCAAAACTAAGAATTCCACATCCATCGAGGCTGGACTTCAATTCCTGGATGAAAGAATCGAACGGTTTCTAAAGACCTTGCCACTAAGGTTTTGGAATTGGCCACGAATGAAGAGCGTGACAACAAGAAAAATAGGATAAACCCTAGACATGTTCTTCTAGTTATGAGGAATGATAAAGAGCTCAAAAAATTGCTTCAAGAGTCACCACTACAAGCGATGGAATTCTTCCGAACATCAATTGTTTCACCAAGAAGAGTGAGCACGAGAGAGGCAAACAACGCCCATGGAAGTGCTCTAAGAGAAGTGAGCACACGAGAGACAAGCGATGTCTGTGAAACTTCTCCAAGAGGAGTGTCTGTGGAAGTGCTCCAAGAGGAGTGAGCATGCTAACAAAAGTACTTCACAACTTACTACTTCATGAGTTAGTAAGTTAGGAGATAAGTGCTCCAAGAGGAGTGAGCATGCTAACAAAAGTACTTCACAACTTACTACTTCATGAGTTAGTAAGTTAGGAGATAAGTGCTCCAAGAGGAGTGAGCATGCTAACAAAAGTACTTCACAACTTACTACTTCATGAGTTAGTAAGTTAGGAGATAAGTGCTCCAAGAGGAGTGAGCATGCTAACAAAAGTACTTCACAACTTACTACTTCATGAGTTAGTAAGTTAGGAGATAAGTGCTCCAAGAGGAGTGAGCATGCTAACAAAAGTACTTCACAACTTACTACACGAGTTAGTAAGTTAGGAGATATTTGTGCAATCCCATTAAATAAGGGAAGTAGTTGACCTCCCTCATTTATCTATATTGTTACCTAGTATTTAGGGATTTATTTAGATCTATTGTTATCTAGTATCTAGGGATTTATTCAGATTTATTGTTGCCTGGCATCTAGAGATTTAGTTGACCTATTATATAGAGCACCTGTACCTCCTTAAAATTTAATAAGAAAAACAGCCATTTAATTTAAAATGTAACACCCAATACATATAATGAGTATTATATTAGAAACTTTTGGATTTTAGTGATTTAATGAATTCATAAATAAATAAAACTAATAAAAAAAGGACGAAAGGGTTGTGTATGGAGCCAGTGGCGTCCACAACAAAAGGATACAGAGGGGGACAAAAAGACCTTGCGTGAGGGAGAAAACAGGCCACCTACCCAAATTCTTGCTCATAATATCTTCATAACTTCTAAAGATTTGGGACAAGTGAAGAGGATTTAAACTCATGGGGGCTCGATTTTGGGGATGAAGAAACTTCAAAGGAAGGTTGGACTGCCGCTGGAAGCTTGAGGAGGATAGGAAACCCATATTGACATAATGAAACTAGCCAAGACCTAACTAACATAAAAGCAAGTAGAGGGGGTTTAGAACGGGCATGCGCCCATAGGTAACATGTCCTGAACAAGTATGACCGAGACATCTGACATGCGACCACAGTCAACACGTCTTGAACAAGCATGACCGTGACACCATGTTGTTGTTGTAGGGACCCTTAGATTGAGTCTTCTCCTTTCATGTCAATTTTAATATCATTTTAATGTTATTTAACTCTAAACTCGCTCTTCTAAATGCATGTTCGACTTTTTTTCTCACTCTGTTTTACAAAATTGAAAGATTTTACTGCACTTTTTACTCTTGAGTGCACGTGTCGATCTATGATTTGAGGCATCGAAAAACGGGTTGTTACAGAACTTCCTGAGAGAGTTACAACATAAGAAGTTTGAAGTTAGCCCAAAAAAAAAATCCTATCTGACCATCACTAATACTTGCCAATTATTTGTTATTATTACACTATTACTTTCCATAAATTAACTCTTATCAGTCCATCACAGAAGACTTAATATACGAGAATATCTTAAAATGGATTTAGCAGTCCTATTGGCTTGCAATTCGGTCTTGGAACCTCGAGTACACGAGTTTGATCCACCTACAAGAGAATATTATAACTGCCCCGGTAGTTGTTAGAAACAGACACTGACTACTTGGTAAGGCAAATCAATGATAGCAGTATGCAAATAATGTACTCTCTTCCTCATGTCTCCTCCTACCCATCCACCTTGCCTCCCCTTCTGTCATTTTCCTTCGTGTAAGCTCCAACTTCTAAATAAGAGTTAATCTAGGGCTAACCAAATCAATTTCTCAACTCATGAAGGTGAAAAAAAATTCTTCTTCCTCCTCGTTCCGCAAAAAAAAATGCGTAAGAGTTAAATCCGTATAGTATACACACAAAATATACATAAGAAAATACATAAGAGTTAATGTGGATAGGCTATGGTGAAATTTCATTCCAAAAAAACAAGGAGATACAAGCATAGGCCTGGAGATAAAGCTCTACCCAATCAGTTAGAAGAGAGGGTTATAAAAGGTCCCAACTCTAATAGAAGAGAAGATTTCAAAACATTAGTTTGACTTAGACCAAAGAGAAGCTATCTGTTGTATATATTCTTGAAAATTCTGTTATTTCTTACTATCTCCTTGGACTTACTATTCCTTTGTCTGAAAGAAAGACGAATGATGTGGTGGGTCTCCTTTTTCTTCTTCGTGGCTAGTTAGTGATATCAAGGAGGGTTCTAGGGGGTTCTCGTGCCTTTCTTTTTTTTGTTGTCTTGTCTAACCCTTCTCCCTCAGTTCTTCTGTTTCTTCTCACTCTGAAAAGTTATAATTAAAAAAAAAAAAAAAAAAGCTGGTTTTTGAGTGGCAGGTCTGACATGGGAGAGTTAATACCATGGATTGTGTTTAGAGGCATTCTTCCTATATGTTGCACCCATAATGGTACATTTTGTGTAGGAGGGATGACGAGATTATTTGATCATTTGTAGTGGCAATTCGCTCTTTACCTTTGGTTTATAGAGTTAGAAAGCCTTGTTGAACACAACTCTTAGTAGGAAACACTCGCACTCTTTACTTAAGACCAATCGAAAAGAGATCACAAGACACTCTGTAGAATACTACTGCACTCTGTGCTTTATATTTCTTGGGATGAAAACCTAGGTAGGGTGGAGGGGTATTTAAAGTAAAGGCTAGACAATTTATTCCTAAAGTTTCTCAATCTTTTTCAAAAATATTTAAATTTTTTTCCTAAAATATTTAGATATCTTTATTCCAAAAATACCTAAATCATTTTCCGAAAATATCTAGGTATCTTTATTCCTAAAATACCTAAATCATTTTCCTAAAATAAATATACAATGGGCTCATACAATTATTGAGCTTGACCCTATTAGACTAGTGATAATTTTTTAACAGTCCCCTCAGCACTAGGTCCACATTTGATGCCATCAATTTGAGCCGGCAACGAAAGCTCTCATGTTAGCCCTTTTGTAAATAGGTTTGCCACTTGTTCATCTGTGTTCTTCCTTCATCGCTTTCTGTCAAGTCGACTTTTTTTATGCTTCTTCATATGTCTCTAGCTCATTAATTTCATCTTCTACCATAGCTGCATTGACATACTTAGGATTTGGCCTTCGGATTCTATTTGATCGCCTTAGTTGCTGATGTGCCGTTTCATTTGTATCAAATTCGCTTGATTGAGTCACTTCTTGCTCGTCAACATCAATGTCACTAGGATCTTCAAGCGCATCAACATTTGACTGAATGTGCGTAGTTTGCTCCCCCATCTTCTGTTATAGAATTTCTTCAATGTTGTTTGAATCTGGTAAGTCTTTCTTCTCTGAGGACCACCATGAAGATGCTTCATCGAAAACTACATCTCTTGATGTATAGTAATTTCCACTTGTTAGATCACAACATTTCCACCCTTTTCTTTGATTGTCATATCCAACAAATATACACTTGATTCCTTTCTTGTCAAATTTGCTACGTAGATGGTTAGGCACAAGTACATAGCAAACACAACCAAATACTCTGAAGTAGCTAACCATAGGTTTCATGTCCCATTGTATCTCAAATAGTGAGACGAGACCTAGCCTTGGTTGGAGAAGCTTGTTGATCACATGGGCAGCAGTTCGCATAGTTTTAGCCCAAAATCTTCCTGGAACATTCTTTGCATGTAACATGCTTCGACAGATTTCTGCAAGGTAACGATTCTTTCTTTCTGCTACATTATTTTGTTGTGGCGTGTTGGCACATGTAAATTGATGTTGTATCTCACACTTGTGTAAATATTGATCGAACTCGTTTGATGTGTATTCTCTGCTATTGTCTGAACGTAGGCAACGAATCTTCACTCCTACTTCTCCTTCGATCATCATCTTAAATTCTTGAAATTTTGAGAACGTGTTAGATTCCTCTTTCATAAAGAAAATCCACACATATCTTAAGTAGTCGTCAATGAACGTCACTATATACTGCATTCCACTGATCGATGCTTGATTGACTTGACCGAACAAATCAGAGTGAATTAACTCTAATGGTTTCTTTGCTTTGAAATTTGACTCTTTGTATGG